TTTTTGCCGTATGAGTATACGTTGCCCAGGGTGCACCACGTGGAGGTAAGGCTATTACGCACCCCATGACTTAAGTATCTAATTACATTAAATAAGTGATTTCCAATCTGCTTGTCCGTCTGAGATGCAGAGGCAGAATTTAGGAAGCTCGGCAAAATGAGTACCAAGTTCCGCTGAAAGTGACTTCAAAGAAGACGCTGATTCATTCAGGTTATAATGAGACCTAGCCATAAATTATATTCGCTGCACGGTGCTCTAACGCACACCACGCATTGATATCTATACGTGACTATCACGTTTCGCCAGGTGGCTTTTGGTGAGAGTAAAGAACAAGTGGGAAGGTGTGGCTCTGAGGTTAATTTGAAATTAAATGTTTCCAATCCCAAAGCACTTATCAAAGGCGACATAGAAGTCCGCTGTCTGACTGATTCAGCAGAAATAAAACAGATGACAGTGCCAATGTCCATCTCTTCATTCCCAAATCCTCCTTCCTAGAAATTGGGAGAAAATTCATGAAGTAAGAAACTGACAGTTGTGATGGAAAGTCTACAGAAAAGATAGCCAATCCATTTTTAATGCAGACAGAATCACCGATCACTGACCTAAATACCAAGAACAACTTTCATTTCTTAATGTAAGGAGGCTTTGAGCCTTGCAAAGGGCATGAGTGAAAATACTAAGCACTTATTAATTTCATGATCAATGCTGACCAATTAACATGCAATCCCTTGAGTTGAGTAGCTATAAGGAGCAAAAAATCTCAAACCCATGGACCAAGTGTCTTCCTACTCCTGTCCTCATCTGTATGGGTTAGTATTCATATAATGAATAGAAGCACTGTCTCCTTTTTTCACAGAGTCAGGTTGAACTAGAGCTATTTCGATGACTTGAGGGATCCCATGTATTAATTTGTTTCTCTGAAATTGTGATTCTCCTAGAGGTTAATTAAGTGCTTCACTTATTTCCTAATTTTGGACAATAATATGGGCAAGAGTATTGCTATGGCCACACCCCATCTATTTTAAGTTTAGTTTAAAGTAAACCAATACCGCTAAAGAGGAAAGGTTACGTGAGATCCCCCTCGAAAAAAGATGCCTTTGTTACTTGTCTGAAGTCACGTAGTCACAAACTTGGCGCCCCAGCTATAGGGGGATACTTAAACCTTTAGCACAAGGACGCATTCATATACATGCATCAATGTAGCGTATGTGCACACAAACACACACACAAATGGTCCGATTCGGCGGCGTGTTTACATCCTCTTTGCTTCTTCTCTGTTTGTTTAAACATGCGCTTATCACGACAGTCACTCGGCCCTTGTTTAAGTTCGACTGCCACGTCAATTGGCTTGCACTTCTCAGCTTGGAAGATTTATGCACAAAGTTTAAGAGTTTATGTTAGGTGTTGGCTGTGGTTAAACAGATGCATTGCAGACTGAAAATGACGGGTTTTTTTCTGATCACCCAAGGCGATAACCCACTAAATGAGGGCCTACGGATTGAGATTTTTGCAGTTAATGAAAGTAGAGAAGGTGGATTAAAATTCTTGGGGTGCTAGAAAATTAATGCTACACACAATCCATCAACAACTATCTACTTTCTCTTCTAATTTTGAACTTGGAATGAGGAAATATTTTAAAAAGCAATTTAAGTGCCACTACCCGAGGTGAAATTAGTCCCTTAAACCCCCACCCACCACCCCCAACACTGATGAATGAAAACTTCTAGATGGTATAACTCCTCTAACCACATATAGTGCAGCATATTGCTGTTCCAATTTAAAATTGCAAACTTCAACTTCCATAGGCAGGCGCTTGGCGATTTGAGACTTTTTGGTTGTCCACTGATTGGCTGATTATCTCAACTAAAAATAGAAAAATGGTCTGCCGATAATCATACACACCACTTTCGACAAAGAACAATTTATCATGTACGTGGAGTGAAGGACGTTTAGAGGACTTCATTCTACATGGTACCGTGCCGAAAAAAAATACCTTATTTATTAAACGATGCTGGGTATTTAGAAACGCTGCTTAAAACAAAGAATTAGCATTTTGATTATTTAAATGCATTGATAGAATTGCATTTTAGTAATATCAGCAAGTATTTCGGGAGAGGATTAAGCCGTGAAAAAACGACCAAATTAAAAAAATCAATTGTCTTATGAAAAATTGGAGCTTCGATTATCAAACAGTATTATGGAATATTTCGTAGTTTGAATTGTAACAAGGAAACACAAAATTGTTAAGGAGTGAAAGTGAAACACTTAATTTATAAAAAATTCAACAAATTTACCCTAAGAGGCCCACCAGTAACGCTTTACTTTTATCTAGCTCAGATTGCAATAATTGCCTTACAAAAAGGATTTCAATGACTTTCATATTGGACAGAAAGGCTAATTAACTTTACATCCAGTGGACTATAATTTAATAATCAGCAAATGAGTTATCAAATCTCAAAGCATTAAATTAAATCCTCATTTTTTTCAATTTACTATAACAGCGAAATTTACGACGAAACTACTAGTTACTAACTGCCAGTACGCGATATCGATTATTTTGCCATTAATGAAAGTTATACAATAATATGAAATTCGAGTACCGTAACCCCATATAGTGGTATGACAGTGCCTAGAACACTCAGGCACGCAAATTCCTAAAAACGATTTGAGTCGACTTTGTGGAGTATGTTAGACTTAAAGATGTCAATATGCAAGCATGACCTATTTAATGATCAAAAGACGCAAAACGATTGCAACTGCTAAAGCAGACAATCCACACAATTAGTAATTTCCCCCCCTTTATAACCCATTATAAGACGACAGTTGAGTGGAAGATACTTTATCTGACGTAAATTCGCAATTGAAAACATTTCTTTCTTCACAAATACTATATTACTACAAACGGGGTGTGCGATAGACTTACCTCCACGTGGTGCACCCTGGGCAACGTATACTCATACGGCAAAAAGTCCATAAACCGGCAGTTGATTTCTGACTTCAAACTACCATGATCCCACTGTATGTCATATTCGACCTCTTCCACAGTACTCATCTAGCCTTTTCTCTGCCTTTGTGTCTGTCTGTCTCTTTTACATCTGTGAAACGCTCTTCATTTCCCTTGTCGAATTTTTCTCACTTTGATGTTCCTCCCTTCTATGAAGACCGAAGTCAACAAAAGGGCTAATGATAACTATCAAAATGCCTGCCGTTAGAAATAAATAAATAAAGTAAATAAATAAGTAATTTCAGCGTATTTAGTTATACGATATTATTAACATGGAGAAAGGAGTAGCCAATTAAAGTGTAACCTCTTACAAAATTTACTGACTGACGGTACATTTGTTTCCAGGTTTTTTTAGCCAATCAAATCCAGTATGAATGTGCTACAGAACAGCCAGGATCCATAGCTGGCAAAATCAATGCGATCACAATTACTTTATGATGGTACTAATTGAACATGTTCATTTTAGTCAAAATAAAGAAAATGCTAAATAGCAGACCACCTATTAATGAATCCGCAAACACACGCACACACCCATGTAACCAAGAGTCAACGTGTTTGGAATATTCGCGAATTCTTCAACAGTGTTTATATTCCTTAAAAACCACCACATCTTCAATCGCATTAAATGGGACCTACTTGTGTTTTCAATGTCGCATTCTGAATTACAGTACCCACCAATATACTACTGAGTAATATAAGTTTACTATCTAAAGCACTGTGGAGGGAGCGCCTTTGCCTCTATTAACAACAGTTAAATCCACTTCATTTGAAGACTTTAGGAGCCATTCCTTGGGTGAGACATTAGTGGTTATGGTTACTTAGATTTCGTCATATTCTCCTTGATTTGGCACCCCAATTAAAGACATAAGACACTTCGACACGTGTTATGAAATTGAGAACAAAGTACGAATAATTCATTTACCGACACACACATAAGCGCACAAGATCGACATGAGTGCATGAGCCCAATTCAGACAACAAATTAAAACGCCGACAAATATTTAAAATGAAAGCTTTGCATGATTCTACATCGTGAACCCCAGAATTCCCACTCTGTACAAAGCATGCATGTGGGATTCATAAAATTTGTTATCGGAGGCAAGTTTAGTGACCTTGTTGGCTTAAATCTCATTTATGCATCACTCAAATTGCCTAAAATTATCGGGCCCACCCATGGATACCTATTAATTTTAAGTCCTTCAATATATGGTACTTCAGTTGTCAATCCATTTGGCCCAGTTACCGAACATCCAGGTTCGTGAAGTCTAGTCCATTACCTTGTAATACTAAAAGTCCTAAAGCGGGGAACGGGAGATAGCTCAGCTGGTTTGCTTCCCTAAAGTGAATGTGTTTAAGTAATAACTACCTCCAATGCGTCACGAATTTATAACTGAAAATTTACTTAATTTTAATGTTTAGTGCTGTGCCGACACCAGTCTACCGAAGCAATATTATAAAAAAATTCCCCGATTCTATTGGTGGTTAATCTACACCCAAATGGAAGTAACAATAAGAGTACCATATGAATATCAATCGAGCGTTTATTAAAGACCGGCAAACCTAACTGCACCCCAAAGGAAAAGTGTATGAAAAAAATATAAACGAAATAACCCAAATCTCCCCCGGCAGACAAGAACTACTCAAGAGCTTTCAGCCAGATCCTTCAACAAAGTCGATCGTGCATTTGAGGGTCGAAAGAGAGCCACAACTAGGCGTGGTATTTCCTCAGACCTTGAAAGATGACATCGGAACGATGGATTTTTAGTGTCTGAAGGGATCACCAGGGACCGCACCTCTTCCAGAGATGCTGCGGATAAAATGGCGCGGAGACTTTGAAGACGTTGCCAAGAGGCTACTCGTTTTTCTAGCAAAACCGTTACACTCTGAAGATAAGGAAAATCGATAAGTAGGATCAGCAGATCAAAACCACAAAGCACCGCATTCAAAGCAGTGGAAGCCCAAGCATTCTGTTAGACTATCGCACGAAAATTACTAGACTTGTCCGTAACCCCCCCCCCCCCCAATGACTACTAATTCCACCAGTGACAACAGACTATTCGTACATTTCGAAAGTACAACTTACGTTAGATATAATTTAGCTTGTGAACCAGAGGTTCCAAACTGTTTTTAAGTCACGTAGAGAACGAAAACTTTCCCCTATGCAAGCAATTAACAAAGGATTTAATCCCAATCCTGGCACGCTAACAAAAAATGGCTGATTCCGACTATCAAGACAATGGGTGTGCATTTGAAGGACGTGGCATGATTGGTTGTCTCTCAAAAAGGTAAATTAGGAAGACTTTGGTGATAAACTAGGTTGACAAAAAACGGTCACGAAATACCTAGAGAAGGCCGGGAACTTTTATAGGCAAACGATATAACCATCTCTACTCACCTTTTCTTCGCTTTTTGATAGAGAACTACCATAGCAGGGCTTGAACGCCGCGTCCAAAAGCTTCTCGAACATTCCGACAACCTAGAACAAAGAAAATAAAGGAATAAGAGATCCCTCGAGTCGCGCAAAATAGCTTCAACAAAACCGTCATGTTTTTCGACAAAGGTTGATGTGATGCTCTAGATTGAATTCAGATGCTTGCGGAATTGTCATTCACTGTGGTTGCCAAGTCATGAAAAACAAACGAAGATAGCCAATAATAGGCCATATGTATGACTGCAGCAAGATTCCGTCTCCTGCTATGCCTCAAGAAAACACCAATACTAAAGTATACCTGTTCTCAGAACTCCCCCCCCCCCACCCCTCCGCCAAGATCCTAACTCTATAGACTATTTTGTATGCATAAAGCCCTGAGGGGAAAAAACACTAATCCGCTTTCTATTATTATAAAAAGACTGCCATTTAGTAGACGGAAATCAAGTGGTGTTCGAGAACATCTTCTCGGGGAGAGTGCGAAATCAGCTTTAATTTGATTACGAATAGGATTGAGGTTGTAATAGGCACCACCAATGGAGGATATTTTGAATAAAACTCCTTCACTAAAACTTTATTTGTTGCGAACTGAACTTCATTTAAATCTCTTTAGCCTTTTAATAACCAACCTAATGAGA